GTGTGCATCATGTAACGACACCATACCACAAATGGGTTTGTATCCAGTAAAGACACCATTAAATGAATGTGTATATCAGTCAGGTGTGTATCATGTAACGACAACATAACGCAGATGGGTTTGTTTCTAGTCACGACAACATTAAACAGATGAATTTGTATCCTGTAACGACACCATTACACAGACAGGTGTGTATCTTGTAACGAAACAATAACACAGCCGCCGGTTGTATATCATGTAACACCATTCCACAGCAGCGTGTGTATCATGTAACGACACCATTACACAGCCGAGTGTATATCCTATTACGATACCATTCCACAGCAGCGTGCTTATCCCTTAACGACACCATTACACTGATGGGTGTGTATCCTGTAACGACACCATTACACAGACGGGTGTATATCATGCAGCGAGACACCATTAGGCACCGGGTGTGTATCATTTAACCACACCATTAATTAACCGGTTGTATATCATGTAACGATATCATAACACTGCCACGTGTATATCCTGTAACGACACCACTAGACAGACGGGTCACGTGGATGTTGACAATTGCAGTACAAGGTCAAGGGCCATTTCTTAAAAACACACATTCCGTATCGTTCAGTTTGATAGCAATTGTAATTTATGTATCATCAGTTAATTAATCGCCGTTTAGACAAAATTGGAAATTTCAAAATATTGTAAAAGATAATTTTGTAATCCTGTTTATTCTGGTGACATAGGAAAAGTCAACATTAAAGAAACAGGTTATGGAAAAGCAATTATATGTGTCCCTCCAATGGGCCTCCTATCATAACGTGTTTTGTAGACTGATTTATACTTCTGGATAGATTTTACTACAACGGCACTCTCCTACCACGACTTCATAACTCCTTACAAAGACCTATTATCATATAGTCAAACAAAAGGTCAATGTGTTGTTAAAACAAATAGGTAATATTTAACCGTCAATTGACGCAAGATTCTTATGACGTTTGATTCTATTATCTGTTAAGATTTCCTAACGAAAAAGGATATTACTAGTTATCATATTAAAATACCAACATGTATGTTGCATCTGCCGTTGCTTCGTCGGAACTTCAAACGGAAACATACGTAGTAAAGAAAAAAGACCATTTTAATTGGACAAAACTATAAGTATCTGCACACATTTCTCTGTATTTATTTGTTAAATATCTGTTGTCCAATCATACAAAATCAATCACGGCTTGAAATCAAAAGTGAAAACAAGACAAGTCTGAATTCCTTGGCCCCGATGTAAAAAAAAGCACAGCGATGTGCATGTGTTTGATAACCAATGAAATATAACAATACATTTTCTTTTTCTCCAAGGAGAATCAAGCTCAACATGGTTATGCATTACAGTCTCGCTGTATATCAATACATGGAACGGATACAGACCTGCCTCCTTTGTAATTGATTCCAGAATTTCACAAGAAAACTTATAAACATCGTTTTGTCGCTGATTGTGCTGAATGCTCAACAAAACAAGTATCCAAACTTGGAATTAGCATCCTTAGTATCATAAAACTTGGGCCACAGTCTTATTGTAGTACTGAAGTAGAATTACTGGGATATTGTTTTTAATATGTTTGCACCCTTAATACCACCATTCATCATACTTAACAGAAGAAGACCAATGCGATATAAATATAAAATCAAGACTTTTACGTTTCTGATTGACACAACTTTGTAGCGTTCGGAGATAGATTGTTCAGCAGACTTCATTCATTAGTTTAATGTTAAGTTCTTCATGCAAATCTTCCTTTTGTTGATATTTTGTGGTAGTTATTTTTTTGAACTGTGAATTACGGTTATGTTAACGTCATTTTCCTTTAGTTATTTTGTTTTCCTTGAGTGGAATTTAAAGTCTTTAGAGAAATTATCCATCCATATATTTAGTTCCTGAAAATCAATAATCAAAAATATATAACAAACACAAACACGTTTCAATCAAATGACATTTTGTACCACGTGCATCAAAGCACAACAATACAAAATTTATTCGAAATATTTATGTAACAGTTTTAATGACGGAAGCAATTTTAAGAAGACTTTTATCAAAATGGTTTCAAACTATGCGTGTTTGAAATTGTATGACAATATTCATTGCCGATGAAAAGCCTGAAGGTATGATGAGCAAGTACAAAGGCGACAGGGGTTCGATCCCCGATGTCGTTGTTCACATGGATATTCAGATAAATGTGTTTTGTCCTGCCCACCCAACTCCAACAACCCGGGTGGATTATAAAATGGTATGGGGTGGATGTTGCGATATCTGTGCTGTAGCATTCAAGTAAGGTGGCACTAGAAATGATGCCGTTGGACGCACGGTCCCATTACAAACAGAACACAACGCATCTCCAGCACACACGCAGGCAAACACACATAGGGATATATTAGCAAGGTGGCATACGACTAGTGGTTAGCGCCTGATAAGGCAGCTCCTACGAATTCCTCAAAATTGTATTGATTCATGTATATATGCTAATTGTATTATTTGTATATGTACTATAAAGCGCTTTAGAGTGGCTAATGCTAGCTAGATAGGGCGATATATCAAATGTATATTAATAATAATATTAACGGATATCAAAAGCTTAAATTAAGATGCCAACCTCTGCTAGCTTTTAAATGATATCCGTATACTTCGTTAAAATCTATTGAAAAAGCAAAACAGTCATTAAACTCATTTTATAAAACCTCATTTAAACTGTGTTGGTTACCTAATATTATTGTCTGTTTTATATGATACATTTTATCGATGGCCGACCGACATAGCAAAATCCAACCCGAAAGATTAACGTTGGTACATTGTGTTGATTCCGGGTGAACTGAACATGCCTCAGTTGTCAGGTTTCACATTTAGATTTTAACTAAACTTATACTGTTCTGTCGTACTCGTTATGTGTTATAAACATAGAACGCTTATTCCCAGCGACAAAAAAAAAAACCATTGCGGTTTGTTACAAATGTGTATAATCATACACATGAATATGATTCAGTAAGGTTATTTGCGTTGTGACCCATATCAGTATAGCATATATATATGTGATTTCGGTCTTCACATGAGTTTGACTTTCTGTCAATATAGTATCCTCTGATAAAGTAGTCTCCATGCCAAATTATATTATAGGGATTTTGTTTGCATGAATACTATCACATGTATGTTATATATACAGAACGTCAAACTCTGGTGGTGTTATAAACATAACGTATGACCCATATCAGTATGCCTCTAATGTTATGTGTACATACTGAAACAGACATTTTAATGAGCCACTGTGTTAACACAGATACCTAATCGCTGCCTATTCATTGACAAGTTGCAATTAAGAAGAGTCGAAGAAAATAATTGCAACTACATGAATCAACAGGATTTATAATTGTTCTTACTTCATATACTGTGTAACACAAGAACTCTGGTGTTTCTAGTGTATGGAAAAGTTCTAGTCCTAGTAAGTTGGATGGTTATTGTGAGGGGAATGTTAATACAATATTCTACATTTTGGAACTTGAAAAGAATATATGTTCAGTGTTTTGTTTACAATCTGAAAAATTATTCATACTACATCGTCATGTTCATGTTGCTATAGTATATAGGTTAAATAAACAAAAGTGTGATTGGTGTTCCTATAGCTACCTACCCCAGAATACCTTGCCCTTTAGTTTCTGTTGGGTTTTTAGAGAGGAAAAATGATCTGAGTTATGTTTTATTTTATTTTTATGAAAATTATTGACATGTTAATCAATTGTTAAATCCCTACCTGTCTTTAACCTTAATGTTCTCAACATTTTTGTCGTGCGCCTACAATGACTACAACAATATGTGTTTGGTCAGATGATTGTTGTTTTTCTGCCTTATTGTAGAAACTGGTGGAACAATACTGGTTAGAAACAACTGTTAACATTATTCATTTACTCGGCCTCTAAGTTACCACAATCGTTCCAAACATGTCAATATCGTCCTCAGGCATAAACCGTTATGGACTTTTTTTCCCCTATAAATTGACATAAATATAAGTTGAAGAAGTAGCTTGTGAAACATAATTTGGACATTGAACCACCTCACTTTTTTTTACTTGAAATGTTAAGTTGCATTAATGTTTAGATACAGTACATGTTATAATTGCATATTTATAAATATGTTGTCATAAATAGCACCATTCCATCCGTTTCATACATTACATGTAATTCAACCTGTACATATTTGACATCTGACTTTTGAGTCACGAATGGCACATTTAAGATGAAATAAAATTCACTTCTGCCATCTCGGTTAAACCAGTTGACCAATGTTGTGTTTCCAAACATCGAATGTCCGTAGTTTGGTCGCTGTCTATCCGTCCTTAATGAATGACGTGTTGATATAGATTTGTTTTGAGCTTGAACCTAAATGTAAAGCAAAAGAAAATAATTATTCTTTAACCACAACGAAAAGTGTCTAAAATAAAATGATCTAGCATCGCTGCAGTTTCATTTGTTGGTGTTTGCAACTACTATTGAAATTATTGATTAAATGTATCAAAACAGTTTGTATTTAGCATTTTTATGAAAAATTAAATGAATCTTTATTATAGTAATAGAGCAAAAGAATGTATGATAGAAATTACACGCGAAATATATTTAGACATACTATATAAGGGAACACTGCATTTCAAATATTGATCATTTCATAAAATCAACACGAATCGTTTTCCAAAATAAGTAGCCATGTCGTTTTTACCCAAAACATGATGTTTGGTTAAGTTCTGAAAGTATTGCAACATATAGGTACAATATCATTTGTATATAAGAATAGATGTAGGTAAGTTATAAAAGAAATACCCGCATATCAACGTATTTCTTAATGTAGCTCGCTTATTAGGTAAACGGACAAACCTACTCGTGCGCTTAAGACATATATTCGTCAGCACAAGATGGAAACATGTGCGCCAGGTATTGTGCATGCATAAAAGTGTTTTGCAGTGCATGAAGAGTGTCATCCTCACCTCTCCTTTCCTTGAGTTCCTCGTATACATTTGGGCCCGATACTCCTCCAAGTGTTTCATAATTGCTTAAAACAGAATCATTAGCTAAGTAAGTTAATTGAATACGTAGTCAATTTAATGTTAAATATTCATGTTACCGATTTGTTTGTGTTTTGTTTAAAATAAGTTTGACCACAAAACCGTTCTATTTGGTTCAAATGTGTATTTCCCTTTTTCTTACTTCTGCATAGTTACAGCCCCCATGTTGTTTATCATTGCAAGTGCTTCTATTTCTGTTCAATTACATAGTTTTAAAAGGTGTCGTGCAACTAACAAGTAAAGATTACCTTCTTTCTGCTCTTTCATCCAAGACAATATCTACATCAACACAAAATATGTTTAATGAATGCTTATTTGAGAAAGAAAATCATGGGTTAAAAGTTCATTAATCTTTAGCAATAACACAACATCTGTAATGTAGCGATACTTTTGTTTAATAACTACGTATTATTGGACGATAAACCAAGCGCGTGCTTGAATTATTTTGCCAACAGAATATGCAAGTGGAACGCTCTCTCAAAAACGTTCCGGGTCTATCAAATCCAAATAGGTGAACAATGGGACGGGTTTCCATTGTCCAATTGGGGTCAAATGTTATACCTGGGAGATTTGTTAACAGACAAAATCAAACAAAAGTTTCTATCTAAGCTTCAGATCCACTAATCGTTTGTTGAGCTCATGACCAGAATGTTCCAACTAGCTAACCAAGGAGGTGACTTGAAGTGGTGTTCATACATCTGTAAATGTTGGTTCCATTTAAGAGCAAACAATATCGACAGATTGATATCTTTATCGCTTTAATATTTATCTATTTTCCAGCAGGACTTTACTTTTTAGTGTTTGTTGTATGTCAATATAAAACAAATCATTGGGATTTCGGACCCCATACAATGGAGATCAGGTCACCAATGCTACATGTACCAAGTGCTTCACTTCCATCAGCCATACACAAACAGTCTCAGCATTCGCGGGGTAACGCTAATGCAGCGGGCACGATTACTCTCTGGGTGATTTGAAAATAATGGGTGATATTATGTATGTTTTTTAAATGTATATTACCACCAAATTACTTAGCAGACAGTTTTTGACTAGCTAGGAATGTCCATACAGGAAGTAGTAGGTTTTCGGATACAAATACTATTTGTGTTAAAATAGACGGAACAACGTTTTATCCCAACCTTTTTTTTGGGATTGCTGGTATTCAACTTGGGACGGGACTTCCAGAAGAATTGAAGAATGTCAATACATTTAACAAGTTTAAACAGAAAGTTGTCAAACATCTTTACTAGGTCAATATTTAAGAGTTTGCTATGTTAACATATATGTAAATTAGGCATGTGACATTTAATTGATGAAACGACTTTGCATGATTGATAACTAGCACATGCATTTTACTAACAAGGCGACCATGCGGAAGATTAGCCCAGGGCTAAACATGTACATATCATAAATACAGAATGTCTATTACTAGTATTAGTATTAATATGAAAACAAAGCGTACCGTGTGCAGGTCTCGCTGGGTCGTACACGTTTTGTGCTGCCAAGTCTGTTGCATCCAATTTAGTATACAGACTTCTGCAATAGACAATCCCCATATAATTGATTGCATTGTCGTAATCAATTTAGTTTCTTAGTTATATCCATACGTACATGATCTCAATTTAGCAAATTATACAGAAATATACTTAAAGTGAAAAATACTAGATAAGCCATATCCCTTCGTTCTGATTGAATGTTTACAGGTCACATTGATACATTTTACTACTGTGTATAAATGCGGTAGTTAGTTCAATATTTTAAATCCCATGCAATTTATCCTATTTAAATTAAATCAAATTGCAACAGTTGATATAAACAAATCTTGTTATGGAGGTCCAATTCACAATTCCAGGAATATTTTTGTTAACAATATTATATAATTTGTGGAAATTTATGTTTCAGATTAGGAATATCACTTTTTAATTGAATTTATTTAAAAGTTTGACTACCGAATTGTATTTTTCGATTAGTTATATATATATAGTATACATATAACACTGAGTTTGGACAAGAGCAACCCTATACAAACAATATCAATACAATTATGTTTAGAAACAAGTTGAAAAATAACAAAACCGAATAAATTTAATTTTCTGTTATAGGCAACCGTCATTTATAATGAATTCATCAATGCATTAATGAGTTATCCGGATTCACGAGGTATGACGTTAACTGTTAGTTTTAGAGAATAGATAATTACCGTTCCTGATCGGATGTTATTCCTGCCATTGCTGTAAAATATCAATTGAAACAAAGTTAACAGTACCATTATTATGATAAACATTGTTATACGAATATTTTTCCTTGTAATAATAATACTCTTATGTACATTCCAATTAAGAACTAAACGTTACCATTGAGAGTCATGTAATCGCTTAAAGATTCAAGCTACAGTTACTGATAGTATGGTAACACATACCGTGTTCCGAATCCTCGATGCTGGTGAACGGTTTGGGGGACGTATTGGTGCTGTTTATCCGTCGTTTCCTTGATAACATGTACGATTTAACATAACCTATGAAACATTACATAAATTAAGCACTATTATAAAATGTTAATAAATCTATGTTACGGTGATAGCATACCTACTTTATATTATGATTATAGAATAACTACCGTATATTCGTTATACGAACAAGTAGACAGTTATGATGACAAGGACAAAACAGGTAACAGCAAATGCTGCGCTATTTTACGCAATATTATTATCGATTACGTATAAATTGAATGAATCAAATATACCCATTTTACTTACATAAATGGAAGATGTCCAAATCCTGTCAAAACCAATATCATGAAAGGGTACATTAAAAGCGCAACACAGTGTGATACTATCATAATAATATCGGAGTATCAGAATGATTATCACAACAGACATATATCTTGTTTCAGAAAAAACAAATACTTAATTGAAAAGAAATAGCTAATGGCGGCGTTGATGTATACGTACTTGTCATAAACACACCAATCCCTAGGTTGATGAGCAGTATGAAAACGGAGACACAGGTAAGAACAATGGAGGTAACGAACATTTGTCTATAAAATGGACAGGCGTCATCACAAACTGAAATCATACCATAATAAATATAATTCAAAGATCGTACAAAAAACATACATTGGTCTGTCTGTTAATTGGATTATCATATATACATCGTGCATACATCAATCAGAAATGTTTTACTTACAATCTTAGAATAATGACAAAATATTCATATACACGTTCTGTGTATATTTAGCTATGGATCACTTCGTAAAGGTGACATTACAGTTGTTGTCATGCAATGCAATATTATGAGTCAATCAGGTATATGTACCCTCATGAGGTACCAATAAAGGACTGTATAATAGTAAAGTAGGATGCTTCAACCTATTAAACTTTACCACTAAGAGTCTTGCTTGATGTGAATACATTTGAGCGTTTATGCTTGTAACTAATATCTTAGAGCTTTAGTTAAATATAATATGTATGCTTGCATGTAATGATTGTGTAGTAAATAGGTAAAACCATTATCCATATACCAGTATGTACATGTATCTGAGGACTCAGATCTCACGAGGGAATAGCGACTTTGTAGATATTTCTGGGGTGTTGATTTTATTATATACTGATACTATGTGCTGCAAATATTGCTCATCGTTACTGTTTCAATGGCTGTTTTGTTTCGATTCGTCTATTTGATCAGTTGAAGCAACCAGCGAATTCAATCCAATAGGAATTTGGCCACTGGAGCAATACAGCCAAAATACTGTCCGAATTACTTACGTCAGAATCATCAAAATCATCAGAATAATCAACTTTTGGACGGCATTTCCTGTTAAAATAGAACTTTGTGCACTGTTTCAGTATCTACTGGGTGGACGAAAAGATAAGATAAGTATGTATTGCTGATCTTGTAATGTTTTATCGATCATTATAAAACTAAGTATTAATCAAGTACAAATCCAGGTGGACGCTAGTTGCTTATTTAATATTTTTTTTATTTTTTTTTATGAACCCTAGAGGACGCGAGGTCTGTCCCGCTCCTTCGGGGAAGCAACAAAATAAACTGTTTCGAAATTTTGAAAACTATTTTACAAGAAGTGTATAGGTATTTTAAATTTTTGGTAATAATATCGTTAGCTCTCATTGCGATCATCTTCATATATATGTTAATTCTTGATATATATGTATACATATGCGTTATAATCGGGGGGAAATATCTCTCAAAAACAACCCTCCGGATTTCGCCATAATTCCTTTCAAGGGAGTTAATTGAGTATGGACTTATGTGATATGTAAGTAAGTTACGTATTGATGTCGATTGAAGTCTTGTATTTGAGTAGCAAGTGATCGTGCAATATGACGCAGGGGTCAAAATATACTGAACACAAAAAGAAACGCACAAAGTTCCCTCCTGCAGTACACCTTAGCTGTAAGGATATAATGGAATATTTGGTCAGGTTTTACTTCAAGAACGATCTCCCTTCCCGTGACGATGTCATTGTGTGACTTAGTGAGCTTCTTTAGTCCAAATCACGCGGCGTGATCAAGCCAAGCCGGAGTATTTCAAACAAATTATCTCAACGGATACTCTAAGTTCAGCCACATTAATTTTTCACGTTGGCATTTTGTTTTTGCCATTGACTGAGATGCCACGCTTAACGCAAATTCAGAGGGGTAGAGCAATTGCGATGTTGATGGATGGTTATAGCCAAACTGCTGTCACACGGCAGTTTGGTGTTGGCCCGTGTACAATTAACCGTCTCTGTACACGTTTCCGTGCTACTGGGTTAGTTTCCGATCGTCCCAGGAGCGGTCGTCCGCGTGTAACGACCACACGACTAGACAGGGCGATTCGATTGTCGCACTTGTGCAACAGTTTCAAGACTGCTGTAGAGACTGCGTCGCATACCTTAGGTACTCATGGCAGACCCATTAGTCCTAAAACTGCCAGGAACCGCTTGCGTGCCGAGCGAATCATTGCGCGCCGACCTTATGTCGGGCCACCTCTGATACCACGGAGGCAACAAGTGCGTCTTGACTGGATGCGCAGACATGGCCCAAATAGGTTTAGGATGCGTCGATGGAGGCGTGTGATGTTCACCGACGAGTCTAGATTCTGTCTGTATCGCTCAGACGGAAGACAAGGGGTATATGGCAGACGCGGTGAGCGTTTCGCCGACGCATGCGTGGTTGAACGCGAGATATTCGGTGGGGCTTCTGTAATGGTTTGGGGAGGCATCTCCCACGGAGTAAAATCCCCCTTAGTGGTCCTGGATCAAAACCTCAATGCCCTTCGATACAGAGACCAGATCCTCCAACCACATGTCCTTCCACTTCTCAGACGTCATAACCTAATTTTCCAGTAAGACAATGCTCGACCGCATGTTGCCAGAGTCTGTTTTGATTTTCTCACGGCAAACAACGTTCAGCCTCTGGAATGGCCCTCATATAGCCCCGACATGTCTCCCATTGAGCATCTGTGGGATGAGCTGGACAGGCGTATTAGGAAACGTCCCCCTCCCCTCCCCAACTAACCGCGCCCAGTTGATCGCAGCATTAACACAAAAATGGGACAACATTCCCTTAAGGCGAATAAATGTTCTCATGAATTCAATGCACAGGAGAATCCGTGCAGGGATTCGTTTAAAAGGTGCCCACTTCAGGTACTGAAGTGTCATTTTATTTTTCGCGGGCATCCCACTTTGAGTAACTACTGATGACACGAGTGACGTCACACATACTTTTCTTCTACAGTATTGTAAAGAGTAGACTTGTCCCTTCATATTGTTATAACATTTTGTACAAATTTCCCAAAATATCATAGGCTATTGATGCATAATTTAATTGTGCGTTTCTTTTTTTTGTTCAGTATACTATCTGAGTGAGCTAAACACAATTTCTTTTTAGGATTTTGAATACCAACAAGATCTTTTTGTTTATTACGTTTATAACACATATTTGCCAAATAAATGTTAGATATACCTTGTTGAGAAGTGGTGAATTGCATTGTTGAATTTTCACTACTGCCCTTTTCATTTGTTGCGAATAGTAGAACTGTGTAGGTCGTAGCAGGAATCAGGTTTGTGAGTTGTACGCTTGGAGTTTCTTCAGTGACATCTATAATGGCCCACGTGGTTGACGACTGCTGTAGTAACCAAACATGGATCTGCTGGTCCTCTCGGCCTCGATTATTACCCGGTTTCCATGACACTACGGCAGAACTCGTTGTTATCTGGTCAACGACCAGGTCAGTCGGTGTATCTGGGACATCTAACGTAATAACAACAAAGTCTAAAAACAATTAGGAAAAGGAAATGCATACGTCATTATCATGTTTAAGCAAGTTGAGAAGGTTTATATTGAAATAGATAGTAAACACATTGAATTAAGGAGATTTCTATTTTAAGTTGAAAATGCACACGAAACATGGTGTATTTAAGTATTTCCACATCGGATATCACCAATACGTTAATGGCTATACGACGAAATTATGAAAATCGATAAAAAAAGCTATATTTTTAAATCATTGGATTTTCATGGAAAAATATAAATAACTTCACTTCCTGTAGTTTTGACAGGTTCATGGTCATTTGAATTTAACGAAAATGAAACTTCATTAACCATTTTATCAATTTGGAAAATCGTTTAAGAGAGTGATAACCACTTACCTATAATTAAGATAATAAAGTGAAATACAAAATGTGGGTATATCGGGTTGATGACAGTTAGGCTATAGTTTCCCATCTGATGGAATTGGAATGTCGGGAAATACAGATTTACTTTGTATCCGGGACGAGATAGAATCTTGCCGTAGAAAATGTCAGACACCCCTTCTGTTGTAAATATGATCGTAAGATTCTGTGTGGATGAGAGACGCTCTTCCTTGCTGATGTACATGTCTGTTGGAGGAGGGTTGCTGATGAATATCAGTGACTTACGAAAAGGTTTGCCCTTGTTCGCAATATCAATCGATCCACCCTCAAGTAGTTTTGGGCTTCCTAAACATAGAGAAATATTTTTTTTCATTTTTTTTTTCACATTGTTTTTTTTTTTAGTATGATTGCATTCTTTAATGTATCATATTGTGTTATGATAATGTCTTATGTGAGTCTTACCTCTGACATCAAAGACAGCCAATCCTGTCTGTATCAGCTGACCGTCCCTCCCCCTGATGGAGTTATGTACTTGACAGGCGTAAGTTCCACTGTCCTGATATGAAACGCTGGCCAGTGTGAGGGTCCTGCCGTCAGTCGTGACGTCACCAGTGAGGGTCCTGACGAGAGTTGTACCGTACATATGTTTCCAAACACCGTAAGTGTAAACGTTTGGAACACCTGACGCGTTACATGTCATCACTAAATGTGTATCGTGTTCCGTGGCGTCCTGCACTAACAACTCTACATCCGGGGCATCTGCAAACAAGTCTACATGTTTATGATCTGGATCCTATATTGCAGAGAAGGTTTATATCTAATTGGGATGAATGTGTGTACATTACTAAGCATATTCATGTGCATAAGTTGTTGTAAACGAAGATATATTGGTTTCGTAAGCCTTTTGACGTTAAATACAGTATGATTTTATTGACAAGTGTCGTAATCAAAGTTGACCTCAAGTGACCATTCGGTTGTAGGCGAATCATTATATTTAGTTTTGGTACAAATATATCATTGTGTAAACAATAGTTAAAGGCACTTAGTCAAGTCTGTAACAGTTACATGTAATTATTCGTAACGACTAAATTGATACCAGGGAAGCTTATGGGATCATGGTATATTAGTTGGGATCAAAACAATATTTTATTTTAGTTTTAATTGTAGCCATGATTTCCCTGATATATTTCGCCGTCTGATTGGCAATCTTACAACACAGGTTTCGAAATAATCTACTCGATTAGGGCTTTGGTCGCTATCCGACAGCCCATCTGATGCTTATATATATTCTCATTTAGCAATGTAACGACAAGTTATGAATGTATTATACCTGTTAACTTATCCTAGTATGAACATGTAATACCACCAGGACAATACTCACAATGTACCACAAGGTTGAGGTCGGACTGGGTATATAGCGACCCAAACTTCTGAGATGATGACGTGGCATTACATGTGTACCGCCCGACCTTGTTTCTGTTGATATATGGTAAGTCCAGAATGTTGTTGGTCGAGGAATCCCGAGGATACCAGGTAACAGTAGGGTTGGGGTTACCTACAGCTGTACAGGTACACCGATAATTGTCTGTCTCGTTAACTGTTTCTGGACAGGCCGAGAGAGTTATAATGGGATCATCTGCAAGTAAAAATATATATTTACCAAGGCAAAGTATTGCAAGGTATTTCATAATCTCCCATCGATAATGATATTTTTGTTAACTCTATCTCAAGATATATAAGAATATAATTCACAGTGCCATATTTCCCGCTCTCTGTATTCCAATACCCAAGACATAATTGCACACCAAATCCAGATTAAATGGTGTAGACTTAATGTTCCAGGCAATTTATGTTTGAAAGATAAAGTAAACGGTCAATTTGCATACCAAATCTGCTTACCCGAGGTGAAATATCATAGAAAATATGTCACAGACAAACCTTTTTCAAAAGTTGATGTCAAATCATAGGTGACCTACTGTTTGTACATGATACTCCTCTATCCAAATACTCCAGGTCAGATAGTATAGAAACAATGTTCGGACAAACTTTTGTAACAGATGGATTTCAGACGGCTGCAAACCTTAACACCTTCCCCTTTCCGGAAAACCTGTTTGGGACTAACGAGCAAAGTTGTCCGCTAACATTTGTTAAAGCTGTTGTTGAGGTTTGGTGTAAAACATACTTAGCCTACAACTTGTCTGTATGTATTTGATGCAATTTTCGATGAATGCAATTTGTATCTCTGAAAACAACGTGATGCAATTAAAGTTTGTCTGTCACCACTGACATTTATCTTAGAAATCTATATATAAGGAGCAAATATAATTGATGCAGTTTGATAAGTTTACCTACATGTGTGAGACCGTAAAACCCCTGTTGCATTTTTGTACATGGTAATGCGTGCTTACTATAAAATAAAATAACTACAATAACAAAATGCAATATTGACTAACACAAAATCTGTTTTTTTTTATTGAACATGTAAAGTTTGTCCAGTGGTAAGTCCTGTAAGATAATGTTAGAACGAAAATAAGACCATGAGAATAAATTAAGAAGTTTTAATTGTAACAGTGGCACTTGCGACAGTCTACAAAAAGATACACAGTGACAAAAGCATAGTAGGTTTGCAAATTTCGCGCGCGTTCCAACACTTGCCAAAGTTTTCATCGGAATCCATTCGGTAGTTTCTAAGAAAACGTAAGGAAAAACTAACGAAGGAAGAAAAAAAGGAGGTAAAAGCAATCAGTCCACAAATTTCGTTTTAGGGACTTAATACAATAGAAAAACTAACTAACAATTCTGATTACTTGACACATTTTGTAGTGATTAGTATTATATTTATAAAACAAGGTTTATTACAATTTTTAGCGCATACCAGCGCCGGCGGATAGCTTTCGGGAGTTAAGATATTGTATGTGGTAAAATACATTAGCAGGAAATACGCCTAGGGAAATACGTTGAATCGGTAAGTATTTGTGTGCTGATTGCTGTGCGGCATAACTAAACACACCAAAGTACCTGCGGTTACACGTGCACCGTGACCTGCATACGTAATCGATATTGTGCCTCTAATGCTGATAATATATTCTAAATTGTTTCAGTTTTAAAGCCATAAAGCGTTGATGTTGTTCTTTGTTGCATGCATCTAGCGCCTGTGCCTTAGCAAAGAGAAAATAAAACACATAACCCGCATTTTGTTCTTATTAGTGTAAAATAAAACGCTTTATCAGATAGCCTGCTAATCACATTCTTTATGTAAAAAGTTGTATAACCAGCGGGATATACAAAAGAACGTAGTGCACACGGAATCAACTTTGCAAATATTTAGATTATCATGAGAGACTCCATGACAAATAGCGGTTAATTGCAAACCATATCTTGGTAATAAATCCTTAAACTTATTTTGTTTCAATTAAATGGCAAAGAGAATACCATCAGGAAAATGTTTTCTTTTTTTAATAGATATTATTTTATGTTATACATGCTTAATTAGCTAGAACGTCTGGATGGTTTGATGAATGAACCCGATTACTCTATGTCAAATATGAACATCACTACTGAGGTAAAAAAATAAATAATATTCAAGAAAAAGACAGGATCTGATCTGAAGACTTACCAACCAATGATGTCATTCATACACAGTTCCCTTTTGAACCTCAATGTATACTTGAAATGGTGGTACAATGATTCTTCGTGTAATTAGCATACAAGATGCAAGATTAACTTGTGTTAATTGTGGATATTTAAATTCGGCCGAGTGAGAAGTAGACATAACTATGGACACGATCCCTAATTTTGTGAGAAATAGCGGTAACAAACTTCATTTGAAAAATCCAAGATGACAAACTGAGAGACAATTTACCTTCTGTATCCATATCGAATTACAATATGTACATAATCATAAAAAGAGGATCACGCGTAACCTGTAACAAATTTCTCATGAAAAAATATAGATATCTGCCTGGCGGAAATTTTGTGTAATTTCCGGTCAACCTCAAGGTGGGATATGCTATGTAGCGTAAAAACTCTATCCGAGATAGTTATAATTTGGCATTTTTTTATTATTCATCACAATTCCGAACTAGCAGAATAATGGACGCAGTTTCTTAATGATCCTTTTACTAACTACGAGTAAGAAGAATAATGATACTTAACTTCAGATGCAAAATCTAAGATGCCTACCTAATAGCAATTTTGTTTTTCGGATTCATCCTGAATGGCACAGCGTACATACTTCTGTGTGATCCCTTCTTTTCTAAGAAAAAATCTGTATATTACATTTGTACCGGTGAAATATTGAAAATAATTCATTCTATAAAAGCGATATTGTTTACTAGTGAACATAGTCACTTTTGTTAATTTGACCAATTAAACACTGATAACAAACTACCATGAGAAAAAAGTACAGGTGGGCCATATGTTCAAAGTCTGATTAGCGTAACGATATACAGGCCTCGAGATCCATCTGAGACATGTGCCGATTGTACTGTCCAAAATAACCAGATATGTTACCTATTAGGTAAAAATATTCTTGGAAAAATACAACGTTTAATTCCACAGTTAGCTTTCATGTTAAGGAAGTCAGCAGACTATGAAGGTTAGCAATTGTAACTGTTTGTTCGAAGGAAGCTTATGTGAAATACAAACAGCGTCTCCAAGTACAAAGTTAGGCTAGGCGATGGGCAGAAATTATGATAAAACTAAGGTCATCTTTGACAGTGATAGTGATTACGTATAACTGGCATAGGTGATCATTAGGATAAGTGGTGACGCAACAACATTTCCCCCACTCCCCACCATTTACAGTCGAAGCTTATCAACATCGCGTAACTATCTGAGTTAATATGAAGGCGGTTATTAAATAATTAAATAATGAAAATAATTTCGCATACTTTGTTAAAATATTCACCAAAGAACCTACTTTATCAAAATAAGTAATTAAATGAATGTAATAATAAGGTTTTACATTCTTTTCAAATATTTGCAGATAGGACTTTATTTTGTCTCGTAAGGTTGTCTAGACAGCATGTCAGTCGTACAAGGAAATAAAATGATGGTAGCAAACACATCAGCATTATGTCATAATTCAAGTTAACCTACATTGTACATCTAATGTTATGTCCAACTCCGGAGCCGATCCTTTGGCGTCGGTGAAGTCGTTTTCAGCCCTACACCTGTACAACCGTCCGCCATCACTGCTGGCAGGTGGGTCAAAGGGGAGCGTCTGTGATGTCTGGGAACTGACCGGTGTACCGTCCCTGTACCACGTGTACCGTGTGGTAGGCGGGTTACCGGCTGTAGTGTCACAGCTCAGACGGCCTACATAAGTATCTCTGGCCAGCCAGGGGAACGTGTCAGTCACCGTCAGGGCATGGATACGAGGGGCATCTGTTCAGGCAGGTAATACAGGTCTTTATTTACGCACAAACAAGGAAAAAAACCTGTTTATATTTATTATGTGAGCCTCCAAAACACAGTCCTGAAGGTTTTATTATTACAATAAGAGAATTCGTTTGATAATTAGCTGCTCTGACATAATGCAGAACTCAATTGTACAAAACTTAAAATTGAATGCGTATGGTCAGTTATGAATCAAACATGAAATCTCAAAACAATTTCAGGAGAAAAACGAAGTAATTATTTAATGTTATTAACAACTTTGTTATGCATATACACTGCAAAATGGTTGTATATTGCCATATCGAACAACTTTTTAAACCGCGTTACATAAAATAGTCATAGTTTGTCACTATTTGATCAGGTCGCTTCTAATTCAACGAACTAATACATAAATGAGATAGAAAAGAGGGGGATTCCAGGTTATATTACATTGAAGTGTTTGACATTTTGAAAACGGGAAATAGATGACCAAAATTTGCATTTTTTATTAAATTTCAAAACGGCATTTCTGTTTCTTAATCATAACAAAGATGTACCAGACACTTTCACCAATTACTCCTTTAAGCTCTAATCATACTTTATCGGTATATAGCCCCGGTGAGCTACTGTGGTGCAAACCTGGGACAACTCTGGATATCCGTAGCGAGTCAGTATTGAAGCCTGGGTAATCCGTGTTGATACTGGGTGTAAAACCGTGACAGTTGGACTGGAACTTTATACATACTTGTAGCCTGTGTCTCAATAGAACCTATTGGTTCAAGAATGTACCAAATGTCGCATTATCAATTATACTAAAATATGGACTTTTTATCAAAAATCCTAATATAGTAAAAATAAAATTAAAAGGGTAAAAAGCTATTCTTAAATGTATTAAAATGTCTCCAGATAGGAGTATCAAGTGAAATTTGGGAAACACATTGTGTATTGAAAACCCTGATGTAATAATAACTCGTCACACATTAAATGCACTTCACACAAAAGGGCAATGACTACCACAGTATACTTGCATTTGACGTTGACGATCTCAGGATTAGACCTGATGATCAATAGTTATATAGATACAGTAACTACCACAGTAGACTTACAGTAGACGTTGAATACCTCGGTGGGAGATGTCCTGAAGCCCTGTACAGGATGAGTAGCTACACATGTACAGTTGGCCTCGTTATATAAAGGTGTCAGACGTATCCCAAGTACTGAGTTTGCTGTGTCTGCTGTGTTTGCTGGTGTAGAGGTAACGCTACGATCTGGACATGTCCATGTCAGACTGGCTAGTGGGTTACCTCCCCTTATACTACATCGGAGTTCAATGTCCTCACCATCATACACAGGATCACTATTACCGGTCACTATGGCTGGGTTAGTCGGGGGATCTAAAGACAAAATTTATATGTGAATTAACATGTATTTAAAGAGCTACTGGCTGTTTTTTGTTTCATTGATGCAATTATCCGATGCTGATCAGTTGAAATAAGTTTGAAGTAACTGGAAACGACTAGATAAACTGAACACTTTTGATGTTATACTGGTTCCGGGTGTTCTTATGAAGAAACCTTTTATTTTTCATAAATGTCGTTAATCGGTTTAAATATTAAATCCTAATATTTTTTGGGAAACGATATTTCTGTCGTGCCATTGCGATCTCATTTTGTTAGAAAACATTCTACTTTTTGCCCACTATTAAAGAGCACAACTCTGATAGTGATTCGTATGGCCGCAAAAGAACGTCTTAAATCCCTGAGCCTACGTGAAGACAACCATTTCAAATTGCATTGTGTGAAGTTGTGAATATATCTACAAATTATCACTTTGATGTGCCGCTAGTAAAACATAAGATATCGCTAAGTACACTAAAAAACAGAAAAATGAACGTAACACACATACAGAAACAATAGGTCACAATAGAAAAGAGTGAATCTCCTCTTGGATGATTGGGACACCTAGAACAATCTTTGTGAAAATGTTTGGGGGGTGGGGGTGGGGTGGGGTGTTGTTCAATTGCGGCGTACTACCGATTTTATAATAATGGATTGGCATGAAATTCATATTCAAACACTTTTTTCTTAAAAAGAACAAATTTGCAGCTGCATTGCTCTCTACACTGATTGTTAGGACGTCCATGACAAACGTGCATTTTATGCATCATATGGCTAAATAAAAAAAATAACAAACTTCTACTTCCTATTACAAAAGCCATATACAAAAACATTTCTGATGGTATGTAGCAACTGACCATATGTGACCACATTTCAAATTACATCTTTACTAATTATTGGTAATAATAAAAGTACGTTTTGCTTTTTGCTTATTTTGAGTGACAGGATAAGTATGATTAAAGTTCCGTTTCATTAACTTTTTACATTGAAAACTAAAGTATTTGTCTTTCTTGCATGTACATTATGTTCAGATGATTCACTGGATATGCCAATTTTATGGGACTTTTCCTGTATTCTCCTTAGGACGACCACTGATACACGACAATAAGTAGGGTATTGCACAATAGTTGTTGAAACAACTTTGTCTTAACTTAGGTATGGACAAAAAATCCGAAAGAAAAGTAAGAGTTTTAATAAATTAAAACGTTGGCCCATGTCGGGGCAAGTAAGCGGGAAATTAAAGAGGACTGTTGCAGTGCTTCATTGAAAAAGTGCATCCTTTAGTTTCAAAAGATTGTAGTATTGTTCGTTATATACTCCATCACCCTCATCAGACCAATGACCAGTGAAGCGTATGCACACAGAGATACATACTTAAAAAATGGCCATATAAATTCGACTTTAATTCGGCAATGCTATAAGCGTCTGTAAACTTAAGCGATATATATGCATAAATGACGAATCAAATCGATAAATCGACATTGACATACATGTACGAGCCTCTTTCTCGATTCAGGACTGGACCGGTGGAATGCACAACACATATTGTGACACTAAAGCCAACCAAATTTGGAAAAGATAACAGTGGTCGTCCCGAGGTAGAAAAGACATTCGGAAAATGGGCATATCACGTGGATCATTTGTGCACAATTTTCGATTTATCGATGTGAGGATGTGACATTACATGAATTCGACATAGATTGATATGGTGGGTGTAATCGATGCAGCAGAAGACTCTTACCTTCTTGTCATTGTCTGTTAGCCTCCAAATAAATTCACCCTTTTTTGATATTTTGCTCTAGCGATATTTAGTTTAAGTTCGGATTTTATTGACACTTCGGTATTCTTTTGAATATTTCATTCTTTTCACAAGGAAGTTTAACAATTGAACCTTTCCGATTTCTTAAAATTAATTGAACCGATCGAAAACAAACTGATGTTTCAAATATGTTTGCTGCCACTCCAGCCTCTGATCAGCTGAAAAAACTTTCTTTTTTTGTTTTCTCCAAAATGGTTGCATAGACGGTCATAAGAATAGCTTCACTGACATAATATTAACAAATTGAAATTAATATATTTCACAATACCGATTTGTATTATCCGGTGAAAGTTGTTTGCCTTCTGTGATGCAAGTATAATTATATGTTATAGCCTGTAGTTTTAGGGCTTTGTATTGCTTGTCTGTTTTGTTTTTTAATTTCATGTTCGGTTAAGCTGTCGAAAGAAACCAATTGGTTATATATTATACAAACTTCAGTTAAATGTCATGCCATCTTATGTTGTGTGTTTTTTTTTTTTTTTTTTTTTTTTTTTTTTTTTTTTTTTTTAATAGCAATGCAAATTTATCAAATAAAAAAATATACATTGTTACTCTCTCACATTACCATTAATTCATTCATCATACATTCAATAATAATCAACTGCAAATTATGGCCATGGTATCTATCACTTATCTCCAGGTATGGTTCCTAAGTACAGTTGTGGGACCGCACAACGCACCAAAAATAGCGTGCGCACACCGTGCATACATCGTTCACACACCGTCCGCACATCGTCCACACATTGTGCGCGCAACTGTGCGATTTAGCAATCGTTCGCCCCGTTGCGCGCTTCTCTCCGCACAACTGTGCGATTTGGTATCATTTGTAGATCAAAATTACAGAATGACAAAAATACGGAAGGCTTGTATGTGATAATGTACACTGTGTATATATCTGTAATTTCTCATCACAATAATCAAGATTATACAATTTCACAATGCGTGTTACACAGTATTACAGCGACCGTTATAGGCTGTCAAGAATGGGTTTGGCTCTAAGGTAACAGAACAGGTAAATAACAATTTGATGAGTGTCCGGAGTTTTACCTGACCAGTGCCTGACACAAAGAGCTGATTTGCGATACCGTTTGACCGTAATGAATGGTATTTCTTATTTGCATTCGTTTGCCTATAGTTCCCCTTCACCTGAATTTTTACACCCCCGGCCTTACCCGACGAGTTACGTAAGTGCCCCCGACGGGGAGAAAACTACGGTCCAGGTACATGTACAAAGTGGCTATGTTTACCTGTACACGGGATTGTGTTGTAATTTTACATGTGTCGATTAAGTTTGTTTAAAAACACAGAAAACACAATTTCTAAATATAAGAATGTATAGAAAGAAAGATAAGTTTATAGATGATGCTAGAATATAGAAACATACGTAAACATCAAGTTTATATGTTTAAACACGAAACCGTATAAATTGTTAAGGCATTCCTCAATTTACACCAACCACGATTGTTATCCCACAACGTCCGTCCATCGTGCGCACAGATGTGCGCAAGAAATGATCGTCCCGCTTTTTATCGTTCGTCCATCGTGCACACACCGTTCACACACCGTGCACACATCGTGCGCACACCGCACATCGTGTAACGTTGTGCGATCCCACAACTGTAATTATATTTATTTACATATCTAATAGGGACTGTTTTTCACACTTTGCAAACATTTTGTATCAAAGCCAACTTAAACTACAGTTAAATTATTTCTGTTATATATAAGCATTGTTTAGAAGTGACAGAAAAGATGTTAGAGTAGGTCCAAGAGGTATAGAAGGGAAAATGAGACTAGAAGTAAGATTGGAGGAAAACGGAAAACAAAATAGGGGGGGGGGGGGGGGGGGGAGAAGCATAGACGCTGTCTAGATGTGTAGGAATGTTCAATGAGTTTCACCATATGTTTTCAAAAGTAAAAGTTTATGTAAGTATATTCTATAGATATGAGTATATATTTTGGCAAAGACAGGGTTTAAGCAATATCAAGTAATTTTTCTGATTGTTTTCCAACTCAGTATTAAATTTCAATGAAAATAAGTCGCCTTTACCAACAGCAAATAATTTCGCTGAGTATAATATGTGTCCTTAATTACGATTCTTAAGTTCTTATGGTGGAATTTATTCCTCTAAATTATTTCGTAAATAATCAAATAAACTTCATTTCATGTACTGCTGAACTGTATATGCTTCGTATATATTACTTCTGTGGAAATGTACTTTGTTATCAATATTTTTCCAAGCAAGATGATTTACCAATTTAAAGATGACTGGAAAGCTAAGTCACTTGAAACTTAACGTGATCTTTCCTAACCACAGAATTCTGGTATATTCTAAGTGAGTTTGAAGATCAATACCTACTTATAAATATTGCCCAGGCGAGTAAAATTTCGCATAATTTGACTTATAGGTAGTTAATTGAACTTACGATATATCCGATTGGAGTATTACATAGCTTCTTAATTATGCATAAAGCAACGTAACATTACGTTATAACATTTAATTGAATGTATCGGTAATTATATGGGACTGTTTACAAGTAGGAGAAACAGAATACAGGCCAGTGAGCAAATCGATTAAGACACATTTAAGCTACACATCCATTTTGTTGAATATACAATTATACTTGCATCTGACATTAAGGGAAATCTTGCCCGACTTTTGTCCAACATTTTTCATACGAATACAGCGATAGAACGAATAAAGAATGAAAACTATACTTACATCTGATATTGAGAGCTACATCTCCCGACCGTAGAGTTGTAGCAGTACTTCCTGTCCATCCTCCATCTGATAGACAGTACACCGTCCGTCCGTTGTCCTCCTTGGACGGTACATAAGACAGAGCACTGGTGGTTGTCTGGTCGGAGTTCTGATTGTCATGTGACACACTGATGTTAACGGTGATCTGCTGTTGCTGACCACTGACCACTCGGTACCACGTGACATTGGCCTTGGGACGACTGTGTGGCTGTGTGGTACAGGTCAGTATGGTGGTGGTACCTACATCTACAGTCACAGTGGTGGAGGGCGTGATGGTCACTGATGTCACAGGTACTGTAATATAAACATAAAATGTTTATATGATACATCAGTGTGGTCCCTACAGTCACAGTGGTGGAGGGGGTGATGGTTACTGATGTCACAGGTACTGTTATATATACATATACTGTTTATATGATACATCAGTGTGGTACCTACAGTCACAGTGGTGGAGGAATGATGGTCACTAATGTCACAGGAACTGTAATACATACATATAATGTTATGACACATCAGTGTGGTAACTACAGTCACAGTGGTGGGGGTGATGGTCACTAATGTCACAGGAACTGTGATATATACATATAATGTTAATGACACAGCAGTGTGTTACCTACAGTCACAGTGGTGGAGGGGGTGATGGTCACTAATGTCACAGGAACTGTAATGTATTCATATAATGTTAATGACACATCAGTGTGTTACCTACAGTCACAGTGGTGGAGGGGGTGATGGTCATTGATGTCACAGGAACGCTAATGTATTCATATAATGTTTATATGATACATCAGTGTGGTACCTACAGTCACAGTGGTGGAGGGTGTGATGGTCACTGATGTCACAGGAACTGTAATGTATTCATATAATGTGTATATGATACATCAGTGTGGTACCTACAGTCACAGTGGTGGAGGGGGTGATGGTCACTGATGTCACAGGAACTGTAATGTATTCATATAATGTTTATATGATACATCAGTGTGGTACCTACAGTCACAGTGGTGGAGGGGGTGATGGTCACTGATGTCACAGGAACTGTAATGTATTCATATAATGTTTATATGATACATCAGTGTGGTACCTACAGTCACAGTGGTGGAGGGGGTGATGGTCACTGATGTCACAGGAACTGTAATGTATTCATATAATGTGTATATGATACATCAGTGTGGTACCTACAGTCACAGTGGTGGAGGGGGTGATGATCACTGATGTCACAGGAACTGTAATATATACATATAATGTTAATGACACATCAGTGTGGTACCTACAGTCACAGTTTTCGAGCGGATGGGGGTCACTGATGTCACAGAAACTGTTAAATAAATAATCTATGCTCGTGACGCTATCACATTGTTTGGGTTTTTATATCTATATTTTTAGGCATCAAATAGTTTTATATTTTTTTTATTTTTTATTTTTAATAGGTAGGTATATTAATTTGATCCAGTTGTAGTAAACATTTATTTTCAGATTATGTCTTGATGCAGGATAATTATTTGCTGTTGATGAAGTCATTGGTGGTTAACATATTATTGTCCTTATTATAATAAGTTAGCTTTCTGAATGTCGTCCACTTCTTCATTCAACGGTCATCTTTTAACGAATCTGAAAACATTGCAGATTTTGAAGTGTTTGCATTTAATAACTACGTGTAGATACCCAAAATTGCTGGCTTAAGTGTTTTGAGGATTTGTGGTTGGCGGTTTTGGGACAACCTCACTAAGGCTAGCTGACATTTACTCTTTATATTGTGTGATAGTTGCTCCTGTGGTTGTAAGATTAAAAACCACTCTGTTTAAATTTATTTTAACTCTTTCCGTACCGTTGTCGTGTACACTCAGCAATAATATGTGCTTCCTGGTCCCCGTTGTCGTGTACTGACGACACAAATATATGCCGCCTCGTCCCCGTTATCGTGTATACACGACACGAGACTTTGTTGTTACCTGTCTATTGTTCAACTGGTTATAGCACACGACATTCGCGTAATCCAATTAATTGTCGCTAAAATCAGCACCCATTAGTTGGAAAGAAAAGTTTTTATAGGTGCAGAGTACACATTTTTTATCATGTGACCTTTGTTTTCGAATTTCCCGCAAGATGTTTACATTTGGTGGTCTCCAATGCAAACAATATGACAACGACTTAATTCGGTACGAACACTCGTAAATTCATCACGAATTATTTATTGAGACTTTTGGAAGTAAATATCGATATTTCAAAATATGTCTTGATACAAGCTACTTGTATTTAGAAGAAAAAACCCGTATCGTTTTCGTAACTAAAATCAATCCAAATTGGGAACCTGCACTACAACGCTGTTTTAAATACAAGGAATCGTATCGTTCGTTGCCGGACAAATACCGACTTCTCAGTGATAATCGGCTACCAGTTAGTCGACAAAATGCTTTAAATATGGAGATATGTATGTCTTTAAACAATAACATGAAACAGTAACAACATTTGTTCACGGTTACCTATTTATTTTTTGCAGTTGTTACACCTCGTCTAAAACGTCCATAATAATCCGTCATTTTGTTATATCATTCGAAAAGGAATCCGGACCATAGTTGTGGTTCGGAATTAATGAAACGAAATGTATCATCGCCAGTTTTTATCGTCCACACATGGTAAGCACACCGTATTATATGGTTCATAGTATGTGTAATAGACCTGGGAAGTAAACAATACTGCACATGAATGTAACGCTGAAGAACACACATTGAGTTCCCGTAGATATCAACAAGCACAATATTAAAATTGTATACAATTTTCCATTTCATGTAATGACGAATACGCTGTCAGCTGCAAATTTTCTGTTCAGCATTCCCTGATTTACATTGAAATTCTTGTCGTCACATCAATATACCTACAGTGTGTACATATACCCTTAAGGTACACACAACCTTTGCATCAACAGAAGGTAGGCTGCTGAACCTTAACAACAAAATCGACACAGTCCATTCACCGCAAGGCCCTCCATTTTTCCTGCTCACACTATACCACCTTTTCAATAATAAATAGTCCATCGCATACAATTGCAATTGGCTACTACGTCACTAAAGTTGTCCCGCTACTCATCCCCTAGGCGGCGTATATAAAAATGACCTGAACAATCTAGACACACCATCCCGCATAATAATAATAATTAATAATAATAATTCGAGGTTCTTTAATACTGCTTCATCACAACTTAGTTCGTAGGTCGTCTCAAAGCGGTTCATAAATTAGTACCCGTGGTTATAGGGCCTTTACAACCAGCCAATAACTTTCTTTATTATCACTGGGACCACATTCCTTGCAAATCTAATCCAACTGTCATACAATGCATAAGCCAATCATTACTATCCATACAACTAGTTTATAAGACCAGGGCGCACTCGATCAGTGGGAAACGCTGTCAAATTGGTTCATCCGCTGGTTCTGTTTCGACAACACATGGTTTTACTTCCTTAACAACTCTCGACAGTTCAAGGCACGTTGGAAGCCCTGAATATTCTGACTCGTCTTTTGACAATAATTCTGGCCCCTGTTTCCATCTTTACTTGGTGACCATTTCAGACAAATTTAACCCTCGAAAAACATTATCAGCAAGATTCACTTGCTTTCCATATAACTCCTACAGGAGAAGACCCATCGTGTATATGTGGAAATGCCGTTTCTTGGTTTTGATGTATTGCACGATTATACTTTCTGTCCTAAACAAGTTTTTGTCAACAGAAAAAAATCAGTTCATCATTTTCAGGATAATATTCACTCGTACCGCGGACACAGCCAAAGATTTTCCAGAAGAATAAACAGTGAATATACTGATTGACTTCACAGCTTGAATGTACGAACCGTTCCATGCGTACTTCTTTAGACGAAAAAATGATAAAGCTCTAATTTAACTCCAGAGTCGAAATTATCCGGTGTGAGACAACGATCTCTCTCAAAAACTCAGCCATTTCACCAATATTGTTTGCTTTCGTCATCCAAGTAATTCTTTGTTCATCTTACACTCTGACTGAACATTCTGTTTATATTGAAGAACGAATGGACACACGAATTACAAAAGGATTATATACTAAGTGTGTGAAACTGAAAACGATTTGCCTTGTGCATTTTGTATCCAACTCTTTGATCTTGATTCAAATGTGTCAAACTTAATGTTCCAGTGAACACCAAGTGGTCTTTCAAACAGCAATGATCTAAGGTGCAGTTCTGATTTTTTTTTCTTTTTAGCCTGTTCTTCCTATAAGTTGCTTTTCATAACAAACTAGCTGTTTATGACCAATTTGGTAAGATGAGAGCTTCCTAATAACGTGAGATATCTCAAGTCATGAACAGGTTTCACTGCCTTTTCTTTACCTCCCACGGGCTTTAGATATTCAGCAACTTAAACAATATGCAATTATGGACTGCAGGTGAGGTATATCCCTGATTTACGGACCTGGTCTGAACAATATTTACAGAGGCCTAGGGCCGAAGTGAATATTGTTCAGACCAGGTCCGTAAATTATATGACATTTTATAATGATATTATTATTTGTTTATGTCGTAAACTCATGGATGGCATGGACCATTTTGTAATCACTGAGTTAAGATCTTGAAAGACAAAATCACATACACAAAATTGCATTTCAGATTCAATCATGTGATATTTTATTTCAAGTAAATATTCTTTGCACAATCGACATCTTCAATGTTCACATAGTTCAAAATTGGATAAGATAATTCAGTTGTTGTTGAATTCAGCAGTGTGATTGATAACAGAATTATAAACTGGCAGGGAAATTACCTAGGGCTATTTTTAGTAGCGGTCTGCAACACCTGTCTATGTATAGGTCGAGGACTGTAACACTTTTCAATTCACAGAACGAGGTCTGTAACAGATGATTTGATTCAGCAATTGACTGTTAATCGATGGTTGGGAAATTACCCAGGTCTATTTGTAGTAGCGGTCTGTAACACTTTTTCTATGTATAGGCTGATGTCTGTAACACTTTTCTATGTATAGGCTGAGGTCTGTAACACTTTTCTATTCATAGAACGAGGTCTGTTACATATTTACAGACTCGTCACATGACGTCGCTCCTCCAATCAGGACTGGGGATTAACACCAGTCATATAATAATTAGTAATATTTCACAAGATTCAAATGATACGGAGTTTTCTTCGGCAGTACGCTTTAAAGCGCAGATTGTCCAAATTGGACTCCAGACGCTTCACAAAGGATGAACAGTCATACGATACGATGTAGGTTATTGTGTCATATCACATACCTCCATCACAAGAAGCTCAATACATCATGGTCA